GGTGGAGGGCCAGGAAGTCTCACTCTTGGCAGGTGGTGAAACACCCCTGCCTCTCTGTGTTTCTCCATCACACACACGTACACACACACCTTTCATTTTTATTTTCACACATGCAAAGGCAATTATCGGCCACTTGCAGCTTTATTACAGGAATACAGGAGTGTCAGTGTTGTAGGTTTTACATCATGTGTCTTAGCCTCGCTGCCTCTGTATAGACTGTAGCCATGTGCATTGTACAGTAACCCGGTGCCATCCAGCTGTGGGGGCTCCAGGTGTAGCAAGGGCCCCATCTGAAGTAATGTCACTTCATTTTCTCAACGCCGGCTCAGGCACGACTCGGCGTCAGCTCAAAATGGCCTCCGACACATCTCTGTGTCTGATTTGTGTGTGCGTTTGACCCTGAGGACCGGTGTGAATGCTGCAGGAGCAAGGAGATAGAGTGCAGCTGCTGTCGCTGAACGCTGACACACATGCAGAGGCGTGAAAGAACCTACACACACACACACACCCAGAGACTCATACACACTCACACCCTCACGTAAAATCACAATCTAGACTGGGTCAGCCAGGTTCAAAGCATTTGTATTCATGGAGGGCTTTTGCATTGGCTCCACCACCTACGGTGTTCCATCTAACTGTGGGACGTGGCTTCTACTTTCACACTCAGAAGACCTTGGACTGTGTTGGAGTGTGTTTATGGCTGTATTTATGGCAGTATGGTGCAACCAGACTGAATGTATTTTTGTTAGTACTCAAGGGTGTAGTATTTTGACATTCCAGTTGACCCTGGTGACATCGCAGCTCTGTATAGGCATGTGCTCATGCTGTGCACACAGCCAAACACTCAGCTTTGGCCCAGGGGTGCTCTAGATGGAAACACAAAAAGCTAATTTTTTGCTTTATTTATTTAGTGGAAAGATTGTTAAACCAAGTGGAAACCAAGATTTAAACACCTATACTGAAAATATTCCATACATTCTACATTCAAATCTAAAATTTCTGGAGGTTTATATATGGGAACAACACCTTTTTTTTTTTTGCTATTTTGTGGCGGTGTGATCAAAAACACTTGTGATTTAGCTCTGCCAGACATGTTGTCAAAATGTGCTTCACCCACATCACTCACACCACTAATTGAGTCTGGGGCTAAAATTGATTTATTAAGCCGATCATTAAAACACAGTTGCTGCAGTTTTGAACCATTTTTATTCTTGTCCACAATCTTAAAATATTTCTTATCATCAAATGTATGTTTCACTGATTCCAGTCTGATAAAATGAACTCACCTCAGTAGTGCAGGTCATTTAAAATTTTTCAGGACATATATACAGATGACTCAATTGCTAGTGCATAAAAATAGAATCATATAAAAGATATGTTTTTTAATTTATTTATTTAATTATGAAAGTTTTCATTTAATTCAATATAGCCTCTCATCTACATCTTGTCAAGGTTAACCAGCAATTAAAGTTTTAGTCTGGACCAAAGTTCATATGGCATTTATCCAAACCGAACTACCATGGAAAAAGGCTTCAGGGATTAGTTTATGGAAATAACACAATATCCCATCAGTGCAGCAATTACTTGTCACAAACCTACCTCTGCCACAAATTAGTTTTTATTTCCAATGTCTTTACCTCTTATTTTATTTGATTACTCTCAGAGCTGACCACACACGTCAAGTGAACAAGAGCATGCACGAATGCACACCGAGGCTTTTTATTGTAAATGACTCGAAACAGAAATTGAGTCTTAACAACATGGGCTCCGTTACCTCCTATTGAGTAGCAATTCTTTTCACATAAAGTCATTTGGCCACCGATGAAAGCTTAAACATACTAAACCGTGAGTGATAGAACACATATTCTTTTGGGGGACATTAGAACCTTTTAGCAGCAGCTGTTGAGGTAAATATGTTTAATGTTAATGTCAAATATTATTGATAAAACTCTTAGAGAGAAACCGTATGGGATCATGGCCTTTGTTGGACTCAGACACGTCACACATGGACCAGTTCAAAAGTTGGACTTTTCTTGTTCAATGTAAAATGAATTGAACAGGAAATAATAATTATTTGTTTCAGTAGATGGAGCTATTTAATTGGGTTATCACAGTTTTTTATTTCACTCTTGGTGTCGTGGTGCAGCCATCCTGCCCATACTGTACAGCACAGGTGAAACCAAAGCAGAAAGAATCCTCACAAAATATTTTGACTTTAGAAATTCGTCTAGGTTTTTTTTTTTTTTCTAATCAAACAAGCACGACTAGACAGACAGACAGACAGACAGACAGACAGACCTTTTATGGATGAAAGATGAGCTAAAGCAATTGGTATTCCTGGAACTCAGCCAACATTTACACCCATTTAAATGTGTTTATACTGACTTAGGTTGAAAACCCTGTCTTTTTTGGGCTTTATTTGTGTGATACAAGTAAGGTGTATTTTTTATTATTTTTGGGCAATGAAGGTTGGTTGGGGTTCAACTAACAACAATAACTCATTTGGTTAATTGCATAAAACGACCATGACAAAATGATCAAATGCACATACAGACATGAGGGTAAAGACATTGGGTGTTCGACCCAAAGATAGGATGGTTTATAGGACAGGAAAAAAAACTGCTCTGATGAATGGTTGGAGCCAATGGCACTGTCTGAAGACTGAAGGTGGCAGAGCTAAAGATGCTGAGATTTTCATTAGGAACAAACGAGATAGAGATGGAGCTGCCGTGGAGGCGGAACAGGGAAGATGACAGAAAAGATTCATGGACACAGAGTTTGGACAAAAAGTTTGTTGGTGCAGCAGGAGCGAAGGATCTGATGAGAAAAGGGGGGATGGTGTCTGCTGCTAGAAGAATGAGGAAAAGGCAACGGAGGCGAAATAAGATAGTGAATCTTTTTAATATATTTTTACTTATGGTTCTTCAAGGATCATGGAAAACCTTGTCGTTACTGTACAAGCTAATGCCAAAAATGAGGAAAAAGAAGGTATGATGGGATGAAACTAGAGGAAACTGACAACTTCAAGATACATTTTTAATTATTAATTAAGAGAATTCACTGTGCGAAGTCAGACCTGTGGACTTTTGTCCACTGTGGTGGAGGAGGAGGGAATGGTTATGTAGAGGATGTAGCAGGTTGACCCGGCCTGGTGGGGCACAGCAAGGCACACAACGGCCGACTCCACCGAAGCCTCACCCACTCAGGACTTCATCCCATCTGAGCTCCACACAATCAGACCTCAACAGTGAATCTGACTTGAGGTTACCATGACAACATGGAGGCACTGCCTGCATGGGACAAAGGCTGACAGATCAGTGTGTGTGTGTGTGTGTGTGTTTGTGTGCATGTGTGTGCGTGTGTGTGATTGAAAGTGAAAGAGAAGTGAAGTGTGGCAGAGCAGGCGCGGCCCTCCTGGGGCCCTCATTCGTTTGTCTCTCGCTGAGACCACGGGAGCCCTGTTGCAGCAGGCAGCCGAGATGGAGGAGGAGGAGGTGGAGGTGGAGGTGGAGTTGGGGTCGCTGGTGGTTGAGGTGGAGGTGGGGGCGCTGGTGGTTGAGGTGAGGGCAGTGGGAGTATGGTGAGGGGGCCGATGAAGGAAAGGCAACTGCTGTGGAGAAAGTCAGGGAAAAGAATAAGAAATGGGAAAAAAAGGTGTCAGGATAAATACAATGGTAATCTGGGGACTCGACATTCTGTGCCCACACCAGGGGAGGTTGGCTCTGACGAATCTTAAAAACTAGGCTTTGTTACTTTTTTGGCAAAATAATTACACATACAGTAAGAATGGCACTCAAAAGAAAGAAAAAGAAAAAAAGTTAATAACCTGTCTTTTTCATTCAGTGATCAAATGATATGAAACACCCATGCTATTGTCACGGTAGAAATTGAACACTGAGTGCTACTCTGGCTTGTCCTGGAAGGCACCAAAACTAAAGTTATTTCACACATGGATTTTTGCCTGGCTCTAAAACTATCTTTGATCATTTACTTAGTACTTGATGTAATTGGGTGATTCCTTATAATGGCTGTTCTAATGTGTCTTCTTGTAAATATAGCAGGCTAATTCCACTCATGCTACAGTGTTGACTAGGAGCAGACTGAGGCTCCAACTAAGATTACTGCTTCACTGGTCTTATCCTTGCTCTCTCTATATGGAACCTGCATGTATGCACTGGTGCTCCAGTTTGCTCCAACTGGTCTAGGGTCCACCCTGCCTTTCCAGTTGACTGTTACTCCCGGGATCTTGCATTTTTTTTAATTCTTGCTCCACATAAATAGACAAGAATATGCTAAATGACACACTATAAACCTATTGTCCTGAGTTGATATTTGTCGGCCTTAAACTAACTTTCTTCCCACTGTATTTTGTTGCCAGGTTTGGACCACACTAACAAAGACCTGAAGAGGAATTTTGTAAGTGAAAAAGATAATATTGAAAGTGTAGTTTTGTTGAAGCTTGGCTTGAATGTAATCACTGTAGTTTCTCTTTGACATTTGGGGGATGAACTGGTGTAGCTTCAGACCTATTGAACAAAAACAATGATACTTTGTGTTACTGAACGGACAAACGTGTTTGAGGCCTAAATTCTTACATCATATATCTAAATACTATTTATTTTATATATAAGTTTGTCAACGATGAGCAGGTAATCCTTTATTTAAATATGTTTAACCACTGCAACTCAGTTAATGACAGTGTACTGATGATAATAACAGTGATTCTGTGTCCATGTTTTTCTACCATTTTAGAACGTTAAATGCAGAAACAAACACAAGCATAAGGCAAAAAAGTATTTGTTGTCCCCTGTCAGTAAACCACAGGTCTGGATCTAGTCTTTGTGAAATGCAGAATAAATTCTTAATCTTTCTCACTGAAGAGCTACAGTATAAAGCATACACATAGATGGTGAATGAGGTGTGGACATACAGTAGGTGTCTGGTTACAATCACTTTAGTCATACACCTGATCTTGAACAGCACTTCATCCTGGACATTCTTTTATTGACTTACAGGAAATCCTCGTCAGTTTTGACCTCACTGCTACTTATGGTCTGGTTCATGACCTCATGCCTGTCCCCAATGAGGAGAACAGGTACTGCAGTCCATGTAGTCTTGGCTGTAAAAAGTGTTGAGTTCAGCAGATAAACACCACACCCTTTGTCTGTTTTGTTTCTGATGCCATACTAAACTCTGATTTATTTTTCCTATTGTGTCATATGAATTTTACTCACTTGATTTTCTTTCCTTCACCCTAATCATCTGCACCAGTCTTGTCACAATGTGTGTCCAGGTTTAACTCAGGGATGTTCTCGGGTCAGCACAATAGAAGGGGGGCTCACATCTTTCTCAGTGTGTGGCAAACATCTTTTTCCTTTTCTGTTTCAGTCACGGCACCTGCTGCGCAGGGGAAGTTGCCATGGAGGCCAACAACTCTTACTGTGGTGTGGGCATTGCCTTCAATGCCAGGATTGGAGGTCCGAACGAAAAATTTAATTTCCCCCTTTTTGTTGAGTGCTTTTTGTTTTTTTCACTTATTTTGCTCTCAAACAATATTCTAATTGGTTGTAAAGGGTTTTTACAAATGACATTTGAAGAAAAATGCAAAAACACCAAGCGTGTAACCTGGAAACAGGTTTAATAACATTGGTTTCTTTGGCAGCTTGTGATTTGACAATTTCTTTTGTTTTCCTCTGGTGTGACCTCGTGCTAAACAGTAGATTAGCATTTTATTATTTGCCCTTCTGCTTACTGCCAAAAAATTAAAATTAGAATACAGTGCATTTTGGGTATAGTATACAATATCTTTTTAGGGATTTATAATATTAAAATCAATATCTTAAGGTATTAATAAATTATTATTTAAAATATATTGTAAGAAATGATTCTGTCTTTCTCTGTTGAAGCCTGGAATCATAAAATTAAAAGCAGCTGAAGAAGAATTAAAAATATTCTGGTCTGGTTATAGGCATTGGCAGCATTGGCTGCTCTATCACATTAAGTTCATATTTTGTATGTGGATGTTACACTAAATACTTTGGTAAGTTTCTGATTAATACACACAGTGTGTGTTTGGATTAAAACACAAAGTAAACTGTTAAAGAAATCTTCTGGTCTGGAGAGCTCAAAATCAATGTTTTACCCTCAGCCATGATAAGGGGAATATATGAACATGAATCTTTCGGTTGAACTCCGACCCCTGCCCTGTGATCTTTCACCTTTAACCTCTGCACATTTCATTTGAGTCTGATGAGAGCTTCTTTTAAAATTGGCAAAGAAAAGAAAGGAAAAAAACAGTTTGTGGATGAAGACCAGAAACCTCCTCTTCACACTTTGTCTTAATGTCACTTCGTTGAGTCTATTTTATCCAGACTCATAACCAGAGTCAGGCAGACCGGAGATGAAAGGCCGCGACCCAAATAAAAGATGCATGTTGAACTACCCGACACTGTAGAGACCTGTGCTGGCCGCCTTCACCGTGAGAGATTGTGAGCTGAAGTTTTCATTTCAGCTCCTGTTTCTTTAGATGCTCCGTGTTTTGAAATATCTTTGTTAGATTTTCTCTTGTGATTTAAAGTATGTGATGAATGAGTGAAGTGAGGGGAAATCTAACAGAGTTCATCTTTTTTCTGTTTGGATCAGTGTTTTGCCATAGGAACATCACTTTCACTATTTCTTATTATACGATACACACACATTCTCACTGTAGCTTCACTGTGCTTAGAATCTTCTGTATAATCAAAGTATTTCAAAGAAAGTCTGCAGTAGTCGAACATGCAGGGTTTACATAGACTGTATTGTTTATGTTCCAACATTCTTTTCAAAGCTTTATCAAAGCTACTGTTGATCTAAAAAGAAGGAACCCAACCATCTCTGCACGTATACACTAATTATACATAAGTATAACAGTATGTTTTGGTGTAGTTTTGTGGACATATGGTTCTTTAAAAAAGGCTTGATGTGAAAATACTTCTGACATCTTCCATTTACACCTTTGATAAGGTGTAACAAACAACCTGAAACTATATGAAGAGATCTGAGTAGGCTGACAGAAGGGTGAGAACATGTGTAGTTGACTTTTTCTCCCACTAAAGCATCTTTAAAACAGTGAAAATACTTCGGCAGGAATCTAATTATACTTAATAATAATACTGTTACTGGACAGACTGAGATTGTTTTTACTTTTCACAACTCTGCCTCTTGTTTGTTCTTTCTTTCTTTTGTTCTGTAATTTCACATATTAAGACAACCATAGCAAACATCTAAGGTGTAAAAGAAACCAACGGCTAGATAGAACATAAGTTACTGCAGCAGTTGTCTGATAATCTACAGTTGATCAATGTGGAACATGGTCATATTTCAGTTCTGTGATCTTAAGTCATTTCAGCCTTTTTATAAAATATAAATTCATTTTAAACACATGAGCAGTATAACGTTATTTCTGTGACCTGTAGGTAAAGGATGTCCACCAAAATATGAACGAGAACAGTCAGAATCTGTAACCCTCACTAATTTTATTTTTAGAAACACTGATCTCTGCGACCTTTTTCTATTCTGTTCAGGTATCCATCTGCTGGGCGGCTCAGTCACTGATGCCATGGAGGCCACGGCTCTGACCTTCAACACTAACTTCATCGACATCGATGTGTGCAGTTGGGGCCCGAGGGACGACTAGGCTGAAATGGAAGGACCACGCAGCCTGACAGAGCGGTCCCTGCAGCTAGGAACTCACAAGGCAAGTTTTTATCCTGGAGTTCAGAGCATTGTCTGTCCAGTGTAAAAACACATCTGTCTGCAGAGCTCAGATTGGAAAGAATTACGATTATCTTGTCAGATTGACATGCCAATTCCCTTTTTTAGAAAATGAACTGGAATCTCTTGTAGAAAAGAGAGCAACAAAGATAATTAGGTTTTAATTGTTTAATTAAAAGGGATAACGTTGTCAGTTATCTGCAGCAGCAGAGTCGACTGTATGTCCAGAGAATGTTAGGAAACTGACTCCATAATGAGGCTCATGGAGCTGCCGCACGTTGGGACACAGCTTCTATGAGGATCACAGTCAAGAATCAAACGCATTTCAGTGAATAAAACTTTGTTGTTTTAGTTTCTTTATTTAAAGTTGAATTTTAAGTTCATCTAAATGATTTATTTGGGGCTTTGGAAAAAGCACTTGCTGTGAAAAACAGGTTAATTCTTTTGTCAGCAGAGATGGCTGCCCCAGGGCTTTTGGTCTAATTTGCTAACTGTGCTCTCATCCAAACAATGTTGCTATCTGTCTTCCAACTTCACTCAGTTTATTTGCACCACCTTAAAAGCCCATTTGTGTAGTTATGTGTTCCATTGGGTGTGGAATTATTACTTTTTACAGCTCTTTTGATTATTGTTCTGTGGATAAAGGTTCCTTTAGTTTGAGCGCCTTGTTTTTTTATATGATGCTTGTGAGCTCAGCAGAATATGCTGCTCACATGCTGTTGCATCTATTCACTGCTGTTGTTCAGCACTTTTCTCTCACAGTTAAGAACATTAGAAATGGTAGGTTTTACTCAAATCACAACATTTTTGTTGGTGGCAGAAGAGTAATAGTTTAATGGCAGTGTCATGTGGTGAGGTTCTTGGCAGGTGAGGCACTAACTCAGAGACAAAAAAAATAAAGTGATTAATTGTTTATTTCAAACTCTAATTGGATTGACCAAATCTTGTAAGGGTCCATTTTATTTTTTCACTTCCATGGAGCTTCATATTTACCGTCAGCATCATCATTCTTATTATTTATTTGCAGCACTCAGGTGAAAAGAAGGACTTGTTTCCCTGTAATTTGAAGAAAACATAAATTAATTTTTTATTTCTACTTTTATCTATTAAATGATTCATTATTTTTTATTATAGGAAATCAGTCAGACAACTACAATAAAAAAAAACAGTGACTGGTGAGGGTCTGCCTCACCTGCGTCCCCTGACCACATGTCAATGATTAATGGTATTGTACTGTAATTGCTGTTGCCAACATTCAGCAAATGATTCACTTCACTTTTTACACCTACAGGATGTTCTATAATTACAGCATAAATGTTCAGTTGATTTCAGTTTCATTTTCTACACTAGATTTGGCTGAAATTTTTGCACCAAAATAAATGATCAATTAAGCTTATAAGATTTTCAGTTTGACATTGGATTTATTAAGTGCTAGACAGAAAACAGACACATTTTTTTACAAATTGATGTCCTGGGATCTTACATCTTTGAAAAACCGGCATAACTTTTGCTACATTATGACCAGTTTCCTACAACAGGAAATTGCTTAACAACCTGTAAAGAAAATGGGAAAGTAGAAAAGAAATAATGATTGCAGCATCTCTGCAAATTAATACGCAGCCTCATACCTTTTAAATTATTAAAGATAACAGATAATACTAGCAGGGTCCTACGTCCTGTGTTATATTATGACATTTTTGGATTAAAATAATCCATTTATGTTACCTGGTATAGTGTGAACACCTTTTTTTTCATTGAACACACATACATTCATTTTGTAAGTATTTGTAGACCCAATGGGAAAGATCTGCGTGAAATTCACTTTTCCCTTTCTCATCCTTGTCTTTGTACATGCAGGGTCGAGGTGGAAAGGGCAGCATCTTCGTGTGGGCGGCAGGTAACGGCGGAGTGCGGCACGACCATTGCGGAGCAGACAGTTATGTTAACTCCATCTTCAGCATCGCCATCGGCGCCGTCACTCAAACCGGGGGGCCCGCCTACTATGGCGAGGCTTGCCCGGGGGTCATGGCTGTCACTCTAACAGGGGCGAATGTGGGAGGCTCGCTACCTTTGGTTAGTGTGCACCACCTAATGCATAACAAAGTTTATTGTTAATGAGTTCACATCTCTGTGTGCAAGTGTTTGTGTGTGTGCCAGCGGCCCTGCTCTTTGACTACTGAGCGCTGTGCAGAGCCTGTTAAAGAGCAGTCACCTGTGTGATATTTATAGAGGCCTGCCAAATGACCTATCTAACTGCTGGTCTTAATCACACATGCAGGCTAACAAACACACACACACACCCATGCACATTTAAGGGTGAAAGCAAACAAGTGTTAATTGGAGGTAAAGTTAGGCTGCATTGGCTGAGATACAGTAGTTAGAGGAAGGATCCAAGGTGTTGATGGAGAAAGGCAAGGATGAAAAAAAATCAATGTCAGCTCCGCGGCTGCATAAAGGCCAATTTTATGTGTGTGATGTTACCTCGGTGCTGAGATGACTGCTCTTTTTCACCTCATATCAGGATGTGGTCAAAGCAGACACACGTTTTCTCTCAATTATTTTCACTGGTAGATTGCGTTGACAAGACTAAAAATAAAAGATCTGCTGCTCACACTCTCGCTGTTAATGTTACCACTAGTTTGACTCGTATTCCTTAATTCCTTGAAAGTACTGATTTTCTGAACTAATAGGATCTGTTTCTTTATCTTCTTACTGCTCATCATTTTGTCTTTTCCTTCAGGAGGCCTCTCCAAAGATTTTTTATTCATGATTAAGTATTTTTCTTCAGCTCCATCTAAAGCAGGGGTCTGCATCCTTCATCACCAAAACAGCCATTTTTTAAAAAAAAAATTACCATAAAACTTAGAAAGCCAACTATCTAAACATCTTAATTATGGCAGTAATCCAGTGTGTTGTTCTTTTGATCTTGTTTTTATAGCCTGTCCATCCTGGTCAATTAACAAAAGTCTTTGCATCACAAACAGCACAACCTCCAGCTAAACTGATTTCCTGTGTGAACGGTGCCAATGTCTCTAAACCTTACATCACTGCAGCATTTCATTGCATTTCCTTTCATTTTCTCACATTTCATACATTTATTACCTCTACTTATCACTTCAGCTACGTAACATCAAGTATTGAAACCCGGTTTCCTCTCCTACCTCTTCTCCACTGTCACTTTCATTCTTACCATTAGATATAACCCTTTTTAAAAGTCTTCCATGCATCCAGAGTTCTGTCTTTATATGCAGCTTGTTATACTTGATTGTTGTTGTTTTCAGGTGACTGTAACCAACACCGGTGATGGATGTGTTACTTACTTTCCAGGAACATCCAGTGCTGCTCCGATTGCTGCAGGAATTCTGGCTCTGGTCCTAGAAGTGATGTGAGTTTTTACCTGACCATTCACACACCGCACAATTCACTGACACTGCAGCGTGTGTGTGACAACAGCAACAACAACAAAAACACATTAAGGCCCTAAAACATTTGTGTGATTTGATTTGTTGTCAGTTTTTTTATTATTTATGACACTTTGAGTCGCTAGTGTTATCTTTTACTTTATTCTTGGCATTTTCAATAAGAAAACATATGCTTTCTTGTGTACAAAAAGCTTGTTGCCTTTTTCTCCAATATGCAATTTACACTTTGTATTTGTCATCTCTGTGCATGACAACCATATAGAAAGGCATTTCCATTGCACTGTGTTTTGTGTAGACAAGCAGTTTCTGTCTCACACAATTGCAGGTTATGAAAGTTTGTGATTTTGTTGCTGCGTTGCTGTTACAAAAAGTACCAGCAGAATTACAAACTTGACAAACTTCGCAGACGCTAATTTGTCAGACTGATTAACTATGTTCCTGAGCATGTGTTATACAGAGGTTGTCAAACAATTATTTTTTTTCTGTTGCAGTGAAGCTGTAGATTTATAACCATTAATAATGATTATAAAAAAAACTCCCTAACTATGACTTGTTTCTGTATTCCACTGTAAAAGAAGGACTTATTACAGCGGGTGTTTGTTTCACTGTTTTTATTTGTCACTTATCCAAATGAATGAATGAATTATTAATATGGAAAAGTGTCTCAAAGTACACAGCTAAATGCATCACGACGTTGTCGTGTAAGGTTTTGACAGCCCCAGTTCAATATGTTAACCAAACTTAAACTGTCTTCATTTGGTATAAGACACAATAGACAATAGATTACGCAGTTGAGACTCCACTTGCCTACTGGAGTGTCTGCCTTCACCGACTGAGGCAGGTGCAGTGTGAGGCGGGGTGGCCTGTGGGTTATTGAGTGTGTTATCAACAACTACCTGCCCCATTTACACATGGGCTTAATAAGACATTACAATGCCTGTGTGCGGTAAAGAGGTGTAAGTCTGAAGTCTATTTAGTGTCCAGTTGCACTGATTTAGACACTGCAGTTCACGACTACAGCTCCTCTGTGTAAAGTCTTGTTAAGTACGGGGTTGCAGTGAACGTGTGAAATCACCATTAGTCTTGCTTCATTAACGTCTCAGTTGGGAAAAAAAAGAAGAAAACTCTTTCACCGACTGCCACCGTTCCTGTCCTTTTTTTCTTACACACCTTTTTTGCAAAAACAAATATATTAGATTGATCATCGTCATGCAGTGCATGTCATTACCATTCCTAATACACCTAAGATATTTGCTGGTGTAATATTCTTTTAAAAAAGCAAATAACTCAGAGAAAAAAAAATTGCTTTTCATCAATTGTACAGGGAAATGGTGACAATAAGTGTTAAATAAATATGATATAGCCTATCATCACCACCATATATTTTTAAGTTGCTCCTTTGTTTTAGATTATCTTCCTTCTCCCACCTTTTCTCCCTCTATTTCTGCCGGTTATTCCTCCTTTTTTTTCGCCTTTCCCTCCTTTGTCTCCTCTGCCATTTCCCCAGCTCCCCTTTTCTTCATCCCTCTTAACTCGCCAGCTGTCGGTGTGGCCTCAGGCCTGGTGTTTTGTGGTGGTATCACCAACGTCTACGCCTTCTTCATGTTATGGATGGTACGAGAGGCTGGCTTTACTGCTCCAGCTGTCATGCCACGGCGTCTCAGTCTCAGTCGCTCGGCTGTAAAATGGAGCGTGGGTCCCCTGGGCGAGGCGACTCCCAGGACATTACTGTTAAAGGCTTTGTCGTGACCCGCTGCTACTGACTAAACTATATATCACCTCTCCAGCTCACGTCGGCAGTATTCCGCTCACGTCTTTATGGTGTGGTGCTCTTGTTCCCTCCCTCTCTCTTTGTCTGTTTTCACACACTTGTTCATTCTATGTCTCACACTTTCTTCCCACATTTCACATCAGCTCACACACTGATATATGGTGCCAGAATACAAACCTAAAGGTTTGTCTTTCCTCGTATTCCCATTCATCAGAAACAGTCCACCTCATCCATATAATCCACAGGCACCAATGCAGTCAGCAGTCCACTGACATGAGACCACATATCAAATGAAGTATATTTTAGTGATTTTGGTTCAGTGAACTCTTCCCCACCAGCAGGATTTCATCATGTAAAAGTAGGGGTTATAAATGATGGATACAGGTTACTGTGGGTGTGGGTTTTTTCTTTTTTTTTTTTTATAAATCAGAGATTATAAAATAAAGTTAATACTATTTTGCAACCAGTTTTGCATTGCTGTTGTTAGCTACAAATTAAAATAACAAAATCAACTAATTAAAATTATATATAATATATAGAGATTTGTGAGTGATTTTTTTTTTTATTATTGTTGGTTTACCATGCTGCCAGCGTGACAGCCTCCAGTTAGACTGTTGGGTCGGTAAACTAGTAATTAGTTCTCATTCATTAGACAATACCTACTTATGTTTTCTCCTAATGCCAATAGAATGTTAACACATATAGATCCCGCCTAGCTGTAAACAACACACAACATGATGTAATTTTTCTTATTTTGTTTTTAGATGCTCTAGTAATCCCAAGAGGGGTATTACTTGTACTTATTTCATCCTGACCCAATTGACCTGATTAGGTCATACATTGCAAAAGTAAATCCCCCTATGGGAAAGACATATCCACTCCAACAACACACTTCTAGGTGAAAGTCCAGTTGTCAATCACAGCTACTGTATGTGACTTCCACTACTGTTGTTACTTTTTCCGTTCAATTTTTTTCTATCAAGGCAGACCTACGAATATCCATTTTTTAAATCTGGAACATCTGTGTGTTATGAATCAAATCTACAGGAAATGTAATCTAATTTTTGCATAGACCTTTAACCATACTTCTGATGCATATTAAGTTCTCTCAGCTGCCTTGTGTTTTTTTAACAGTGAAACTTTTACATTTTGTACCTTCATCCATTTTAATGTGCAGAATGAGCTAAATTACCCGTACAGTAATAAATGTGATTCAGCTCTAGTGGTGAACCTAGGATAATGGACTTGTACCTGCTAAACACCATTATAATCAGGCCCATTATTAGCATGATAGCATGGTGACATTAACACAAAGACTATCAAGGACACACTGTATACTGGCGATACAGGCTATGACATCATTCTGCTGCAACAAGCACCTGAAAAACGCAATAGTAGAAAAATAGAGTCTGCTTCAGAGCTTGGTGGCGCTCAGGTCAACTGTGCCTTTCCCTCTCATAAATATTCATTCACTGCGAGAATGAGGAACCATCGTATGCAGTAAGTGAAGGATTATGAAATACCATGGATGTGTGGAAACTGCAGGTAAATATCCAGTGTAATTTTCCCTTTGAAAGCAGGTGTATAGCAGGTAGAGCATTTGCTTGCATATAGGAAACTTATAGAGAAAATTACAGCAGCTATCTTTGCTTTTTGTGGTGGTTGGTGGCAGCTCTATTATGTACAAAGGGAGGCCCACTCAATTGTGCTTTTATGCCACTATCTGCAAATTATGGATAGAGGGCGATGATGTGCGTTCATTATGTGATTAGCTGCAGGTTTGGTACATCCAGTGTAAAATAGAGAGGCATTGCATGTGGTTTTTCTGTGACCTGACACAGAGGATTTTTCTGCCGGCAGAATATATACATCTGCCCTCTGGTCTCAGTCTTCTGTTAGTATGATTGAGCAACCTGATGGAAAAGGGGAAATAGGACAGAAACATGTGAGGGGAGGATGAACAGCCAAGGTCTGTGGCAGCAGCTAATACAGAAATGATGCTTTTAAGCATGAAGCTATCAATTTTCTGATATTTTTCATTTAAAGCTGCTGACGCAAACAACAGGTTCTACATGAGAGCAGCATGTGCTGATGTCTCTGTTATGACTATACTTTAATTGTGTGAGGTTTTCACTGCCTGCCTGTTTCTCTGATGCTATGCTGGCCTGTCGGTCTCTGTGCTTCCATCTGTCTCCATCCATCCGCTGTGACAGCTGTCCAACAAACCGTCCCGGCAAATCAATCCTTCACTCATCTGCTTTGTCACTCTCTCTGTTTGTTCACTTTATCATGATGTCAGTCTCTCTGTCACTTTATCTCTGTTTCTCTTATCCACTCACCAACAGGTCTGCCAATTCCTCTAAAAGGAGCCTGACATGTGATTTTATTTGGCTGCATTTTCTTAGGCATCGATGTTTCAGTTAGTCCTGAGTATTTTAGACTGTCCATCCACAGATTTCGATCACCACTGACCTCTTCCTAGTCTCTATATTCTATTATCAGCTCCAGGCTTTAGAAAAAAATTAATACAGAGGAATAATCTGAACAAGTTTGTAATTTATTTACATTGGAAAATCACTGCAGGAATCTCTGAGTCAATAGAACATTGACCATGTGCCACTTTCAGTTGAAAAGCTACATATTTAACCTCTAATAATAGGAACCAGTGAAGCACTAGGTTAAAGTAACAGAGAATCAAAACAATTCTACATGGAATGTAAGTAACATGCTTTGGTCAGAAACCAGACGATTGAGCATAACTAGATTTTTTATTGTATAAAAGCCTTGTTCTGTAGGGCCAGTTTCTGTGCCTTTACCTTTAAATGCTAATTAGCCACAGAGTGCTCTGCTCACCTCTCCTACTGTGGCACTACATTTGACCTCTCACAGCCTAGTTTTCAAGAGGTTGGTTGATTTATTATGTTAGGCTGAGACTAAATTTTGGAGAGGTAGACTCTCTAAACTATTGAGGTTGAAGATGTTGCTGGTAGATGTGCAGTAACCCTGTGTTCAGACTGACTTCAACACATTTGTCAAACTCAGGCTCGGGGGCCAAATCTTGTACACATACATAAAAATGTGCATAAATTCAACATGTAAATTGAGTTCCCTCACCATTGATATATCTGCCTGTTCAAACAGTTACTGTAATACACCGGCCCCAATGAAGCCATTCACAATATGAACTGCCCA